GTTTGCCCCGCCCTGATCCAGGGCCTGGGCTTTGAACTATTCTGCTTGTTCAGCCCCTGCAAACAAGGGCCTGAGCCTAACTGTGTTTGCCCCGCCCTGATCCAGGGCCTGGGTTCCTGAACTGCTTGCTCGCTCAGCCCCCTGCAGTCAAGGGCCTGAGCTTTAACTGTGGTTGCTCCGACTCTGCACCAAAGAGCCGGAGTTACAGGACTAACTGACTGCTTGTTCCCACTGTAGTGAGTCGGTGTGGCTCCCCTCCTGCCCGGAAGGGTCGAGCCCCGGCTAGGACCTACTACACCATCTCTATTGAGCAAAACACATAATTGCTTTCCTGAATCAGTGCCTAGAATAGTGATTGCTTATATCAAATTTAAAAGGCAAAATAACAGGTTTTCAATTTTAACATGGGAACAATGATTCTGTCATAGATCTTTAAAGGTGCCACCGGACTCCTTGTTGTTTTTTCAGAAGTAAAGTATTCTTTCTATAGAATAAATCGGTTTCCAATAGGCTGAATTTATGTTAAAATTGTATTAGTAAATACAAAAAGAGGCTAGAAATGTTTTCTCAAAATATAGCAGACCTTGGTATCTCAGCTCTTTCAGGGGCCAAACTACAACGCAAACAAATTTCCATATTGGGATAGAATACTAAACTATGGATGGCCTGGGGGACAAGTCTGAATTGCAGGCCTCTATAGTAGTTTTCTCTGAAATGCTACAAGTTTAGGGACAGATCCATTTTACTATATGGCTTAAGGAACTAGTTTATAAAAGCATGATTTAATACATACCAAAGACAGTAAAACCAGTTACATGAGGAGGAGCAACCAAGGGACAGAATTACAATAAAGGGTCTTAAGTACACAGTGCAGAAAAGGCAAGGGTTTTAGTTTTTATAGCAGTCAAGAACCTTTTGAGGCATATAATGTCTCTACAATAGCTTTATTTATGCTTAAACACTTGATTTTATATATCCATATACAACTTAAATTCTACCTTAAGCAATCTTAAAACTGAATTTGCTGATGAAAAGAAAAAAACTTACATCAAGGTAATCCAAAGCAAGAAATGTTTCAGGCTCAGCTCTTTCCTCCTTTAGGAATCGAATGCAATCCCTTGCTATTTTTTCAGTAGCCACAACAATGGCACTCATGTACTTGCCGAAGACTTTGGTAACAGCCAGCTGATATTTTTTATGGATAGGATGACACAAGTCAAGCAGTCTTCCAAACTTAAGATAACAAAATTAAGAAATGATCAACCTTTCACAGATGAGGAAGCAATTAATAAAGCCATATACATTTCAGGCCAAAGTATAGCTTTCTGGTGGCAAAAATGGGAGAAGCTTAAGCAATCTGGATCTTGACTGACAGCTCTGAATGTTACTGTATCCTCTAAAAGAAGAATACAACCCATGTATATCAGATCTTACACACAAGCCTAAATGTTATCAATTATTTTTAGTATCAATGAAGTAAACATACTGTTTAACAATTGTGACATACCCAGACCAGTGGGGTTCAGGAGTCTAGTAGAGGGCAAATATACTGGTCACTGGATGAGTAGTTTTCTGTTCCCTGAGTGACCATATCGGGGGCTGTACTAGAGTAATCAGGAACCTGCTAGAACCAGTTAAGGCAGGCAGGCTAATTAGGACACCTGGAGCCAATTAAGAAGAAGTTGCTAGAATCAATTAAGGCAGGCTAATCAGGGCACCTGGGTTTTAAAAGGAGCTCGCCGCAGTTTGTGGTGTGACTGGGAGGAGCTGGGAGCAAGAGGTGTAAGGAGCTGAGAGGGTGCGCTGCTGGAGGACTGAGGACCACAAGCGTTATCAGACACCAGGGCCTGGTCTACACTAGCAGGTTATGTTGAATTTAGCAGCACTAAATCGAATTAACTCTGCACCCGTCCACACAAAGCTATTTAGTTCGACATAGAGGTCTCCTAAATTCGACTTCTGTACTCCTCCCCAACGAGGGGAGTAGCGCTAAATTTGACATGGCCA